ATATACTTACATATACAGATGTAGACTGTTCTATAGAACACTGCTAAAAACTGGTCGAGATTTTTCTATACAATAAAAAAAGATGTTGAAGGAGATATGTACTAATGTCTGTGTGGAAACAGAGGCTGGGAGACGTTAAGGGATTTGTCTAAAGTCTCACCCCCAGTCACTGGTAGAGCCAGACAAGATATGTTGAAGGGTTTTCATACTCAAAAAGAGCAATATATCTCAGAAAGAGCACAAATATATATATATATATATATGCACATATATTTATGCACACATATATATGCATACACATATATAATGTTTATACTATGAATTCTTGATGAAATAGAACTCAACTGATTTCAAGCTCACTGTACTTTCAAAAGACTGAGGAAATGTCAAAAAAAGAAGCCACCAGCTATTTATTTTAAGATAATATTACTTCTGAGGATGTCCTTGGAACAGTCCTCGTTCACCAAACATCCTGCCAGTCTGTGTGGGCAAATGAAGACACACAGTGGCGAAACTGGGACACCACAGAGCCCCCTCAAACTTCAAAGGAGTTCTTGCTAAGTTACACCAGACACAAATATACATTGCATAAATGTTCACATACCAAAGAAAGATTGCCATCAAAGACTGACATGCAGAAACTGCATGGCAATAAGAGCTTGGATTCTCAGAAAACTCAATTAATCAAAATATAACATTGCTGAAACGCTGATCAAATTTACCCATACAATGTTTCTAAGGAGTGATTTCCTATACAATGTCTTAATTTCCTACACACTGTCTCTTTCCTTTTTCCAACTATAAAAAGAACTGGTTAAGGGTTTTCATACGCAGAAAGAGTAAAATATCTCCCTCCTCACTCTGCCCACTCTTGTAGGATGAGTTTGAATTCCACTTGAACAGAGCAGAGTGCTGCCTTTTACAGTTGGCAGAATGCTTGCACACATGTAATCCCATTTGGTCCTCAAAATATTACAGTGAGGGAAACAAATGTACTAATCTCCATGTGGAAACAGAGGCTGGGAGACGTTAAGGGATTTGTCTAAAGTCTCACCCCCAGTCACTGGTAGAGCCAGACTAAAATATAGATCTTCTACCTCCTCATCTCGTGCTCTCTCTAAAGCACTGTGCCAATCCTGCCCCCTCTCTGTGGCGTGAAGTCAGGGCTCACACGCCAGGAAGGTGGAATGGTTGCACCCACACTCCCTGGCCCATCGCCAGCCCATGCCAATTATTACTTCTCCTGAATATCCCTCAATCAGAGTTGTGGTTTTCCATTCTGGAAATGCATCCTTTGTTTTCCCTTTTCCCACCTGGTTAGCCATTCTTTCTCATTTCACTGTTGGTTCATTAATTTCTTGCCCTCAAAGGACCACATTTTCTCTCTCCCCTTGAGATACAATTACAAATCATGGTCTAGTTACTAACCTTGCTTCTGAGTAGCTACAAAGCTTTCTCCACCCTCCAGGTCAACACTCAACCTCTCTCCTTGCAGAAGGAGTTAGGGCATTTAGTGGGTATAAAAGCTGCCATATTTCATCTATGACCACAGCTCTTCTACAGTTAAAGCTGCCAGAATGTTAACATCAAACATTCAAAAGATTAAGACATACATTTACATTCCATTTCAGTGACTTTAATGTTAATTCAGATATTTGTTTGTGCCTACAATTACGAACCTGCTACCTGCTTTTATCTTTTCTTCTATGGTGATAACGCGAAACTAGAAAGACTGACAGATGAAGAAAGGAGTGGAGAGTGAAAAAAGGTAATATAGAACACTTTTGTGGAAAATAACAAAGAGACTGAACCAGTTATTTATTAGAAAAAATGCCCCACCATAATAAGTTAACAACTCTCATGTTCTAAGAATAACTTAGTAGTCTCTCTCATTTGAATTTATATGGAGGCTACCTATAAAACCTCCTTGAAAAGGTTTAAGAAGCATCTTGTTTTGATCGTGTTTGATAACCGTAGGCCAGTTCTGCATCCTTCTGCACCATTCTCAGAACTGTGCTGAACACGGCACAGCCCGTGATTTCAGTTGGCTCTCAGAGCCTCTTGCCAAAAAACATGCAGTGAGGAGGGAAGCTCAAGGGCTCTGGGGTTAGAGATGTGTGGGTTTGAAGCCCTTAAGCAAGTCACTCAAACTCACTGAGCTTCAGTTTCCTCATCCTTGAAACAGGGAAAACAATCCCATCTCATGAGGTCATTGAGAACATGAAATAAAATAGTACAGGTAAGATTCCTGGTACTGTAGCTTTTACTGAGATCCATTTAATATGAAGGAGAATTCTCTTGAGTTTCCCAAAGAATGTGTCCTAAGGCCTTCATCAAAGTTTTTTTCAAAAGAAGAGGAGGAGGAGGAGGAAGGAAAAAGCAAATACCGTTTATATAAACTTCTTCTCCCACTTCACACTCCTCCCTTAAATTGCTAGTATTTCTTTATGACACTGAAAGCTCTTCAGGCGCTGGGACTAGGTCTCATTTTCAGTCTTCCCAAAAGTAACACAGTGCCCAGGACTTGCTGTGTTTCTTCTCAGTGGGCAACACTGACTAGAAAAGTTAAATCTCAGGGCTCTTACTAGTGGATGCTCTCCCTTTGTGTATGGCCCTACCTGTGTTTTTGATGAAGCAAATTTGTGTGAATGGTATCCAAGAAGTAGGGTGGAAGGGACATCTAAGTTTTCAAAGTAAATGGAGGCAGAGATCAACAAAAATAAGAATAATGATTAGGATATTTACAGTCAAGTTATCATTCTAAAGATCACTTATTATTTTCAAAGGGAGGAATGCATGTTTGCAATGGGAAGACTTAGCAATCACCCACTCAACCAAGTGATTAAACTTAAGATCACTAACGAATGGCCAGGTGCGTGTAACATAAAACACACCGCATTACCTTGAAGTAGTCTGACCAAAAATGTTTTGTCTGAATCTATTCAAACCTTTAGACTGAACTTGCAGGATACAAGAAATATAGGGGATGGAGGACAAGGTGAGTGACACCACAAGGAAATAATCAGATAAATCCAGAATGTAGAACATTCTGCAAATCAACTAGCCTTGTCCCTTCAAAAAGTCTACATGATGAAAAAAGAAAAAAAAAGTTGAGGTACTTTTCTAGATGATAAAACCACTAAAAAGATTAGTGGCCAAATGCAATGTCTGAGAATCTTGATTGGCTCCTGGTTTGAAAAATATATAGTTATCAAAGACATTGAGGGGACAATCGAAGAAATTTGAATGTGGACTGGATGTTTGATGATATTAGGGAATGATTATGAACTTAGCATGTTAAAGTTCCTGTACGTATGTAAAAAATCTTATTTTTATAAGATACATGCTGAAACCTAGGGATGTCTAGAATTACTTTCAAAGGGCTTAGCCCCCCACCCAAAACAATATACTACATACATACATACACACACACAGGTTGATAAAGCAAATATGACAAAATGAACAATTACTGAGTCTAGGTGGTGGAAATATTGGTGTTCATTGACTGTTTCAAATTTTCTGTATGTGTGAAAATTTGTTGTAATAAATTTAGAAAACAAGGAGGCAAAGTAACAAGCAAGCTAGTGCTCTCCGCCCTGAATGAAAATTTCATTCTCTTGCATTTAATAATAAAAATAAATTATAAAACTCTTGTCCTGATGCATTTGGGCCAGTAACTGGAGACTATACATGGCTCAGACACCCTCTACAATGGATTCTGGGGACAGCAGTTGTGCTGAGGAAAGAGCAGAGCCCTCTTAACAGGGTATCATTTTCACTGTCCTTTGAAACCTTGTTATTCCCACACCAAAGATCCTATCAGCACATGGCTAATAAAATGATAAGTATAACTGGTATTTGCTTATTTACCATTTTTTATAAAGTACAATCCTTTCTCTTCTTTTAGTTGGACTCCAGTATAGAAATATAGAAAACCAAAGATCTCATCTAGCATGACTGCTATTCACCCTTTTCAATGGTTCAAATCCATCCCTTAAAAGCTCAATTTTGAAGGGGCAGCTAGTACAGGGAGGTGCTGACAACCACACAGATTTCTAGGAACTACATTTTCTTACCTGCCACAATGACTGCCTGGCCTCATATTAGCACCTTCTATTCAGCCCAAACACCCCCTGTTCACAGGAGCTGATTCATTCAAGTCAAATCACCAAATCCAAGAGCCACTTGCTACCAAGTTCATGTACTTAAGGGTCTTCAACCAGCAATAAAAATAGCTTTGGATTAACTTTACAACTTGTGATCTTGCTTCTGCATAAAGATAACCTAGTCGTTTGATATCACTCAAGGTTTGTTTTTTTTGTTTTGTTTTGTTTTGTTTTTTTAATGGTGATGCAAGTGATATGAAGAAATATAGGTATGGAGGCAGCAACGCATCTTGTATGTAGTCTGGGTACTCCATTAGCCCTGCTGTGGGGGACAAGAATGAGAAGCAGCAGGAGATGAAAGCAGTAAATAATCCAAGACTTCACTCTACACACCAGGTACTTCTATTCCTTCCTGAACTTTCTAGAAGAACAGCCATTAGAAGATAAACTTGATAAATTAAAGTTTTTACAAAGGCAGGCAGCAAGAGAAAGAAGCATGACCCCATGGTTAAAAGTTTGTATTACTTGGGAAAAGAGTCTGAAGTGTGAGTCTGACGATTAGCCCACAGACCTCTCTGCTATTTGGATTCTCTTCCAAACTAAAACATACCACACTAAGGCTAAAACATAAAAACATAAAATAAACTAAAGCTTAATGCTTAAAATACACATGCAATATATATATAATAACATTATATATGCTATATATATGTATAGTGAGATATATATGAAGAGATCCTATATATATATATATATATAGAGAGAGAGAGAGAGAGAGAGAGAGAGTGTGTGTGTGTGTGTGTGTGTGTGTGTGTATAATCTCCTGGGAAATGTGGAAGTGTTTCCTTTCCACTGGTGAGTTCAAGCTTATTTGAGAAGACAGGAAAGTCTTACCTAGGTACAAGGATGCATTTTCTTTCTTGACATTGTCATCTAAGTAGGTTGGTCCCAAGGTATAAATAGGTGTGGAACCCATTCCAATGAGAATCTGTGCACAAATGAATAAAGCCACATAGACCCAATGATTATTTCCTCCTGAATCCTTCAGGCAGGCGGGAGGTTCGGAAGGCGCGGTGGAGTTGCCATTCTGACACAGGCCGTTGTTGGAGGCCGAAGCATTCAACTCTTGGATCTGGTAGGGAGGCGAGATGAAGTGAGGTAAAGCAAAGAGGGCAGCCCCAACGGCAATGAAAAGTCCACCCACCGCTAGCCACAGGGGCCTCCGACCCCGGCCGCCAAAGTAGCTGACGAACACCACCACCACCAGGCTCCCAATGTCAAAGCAGCTGACCAGCAGCCCCGACTCGGAACTCTTCAGACTGTAGCGCCTTTCGATGGTGGTGATGACACTGCTCAGGTACCCAGAGACCATTAACGCCTGGATGAAGGTCAGAAAGCACATGCAAACCAGGAAGCAACGGGAATCAGTGAGGACCACATAGAGGCACCTTCTCCCCTGGAGCGTGGCCAAAGCGGAGGACACCGACACGGCTTTGCTGACTTCCACCCTGTGGTTACATTCCATGAGCCCTGCCATCTCCGCCGAAGTGGAAGGAGCAGAGGGACTGGGGGTCAACCGACTTGGGCCTGGTTTCAACTCCTCATGGCCCAAAGAATCTGTACAGCCGATGGCGGGCTTGGCTCCTGCACGCGCAGGACTCAGGTCTGGCCGGCAGGAGGCGCTGTTCAGGACTGGTAAACTCTTGGACCTAAAGGTCTCTGGTTCGCACTTCTCTTGGACAGCTCCTACTGTGGCTTGTGCTTCCAGCTGCTCTCCCGCCTGGGGCTGCAGCCCGGTGCCTTCGTCCATGGCTCTTAGAACTCAGATTCGATCGCTGATCGCACTCAGGGACTCCGGCGCTTTTCATCCACCAGCACGACGGGCCGAAGTCGGGCCCACTCAGTCGTGCCCACCAGGGACCGGGGCTGGGGACGCAGAGCCGCGCAGCAGGGCATCCTCACCAGCAGAGAGGCACCCAGGGCATCCTGACCGCAGATGCGGCCCCGAGGCTCCGCAGCCGCGTGCCCCGGGGGGCAGGGGTCCGCGCGGTCCTGCGATGAGCCCTGCTTGGGGTCCACCTCGGGGCGGTAGCTCGCGGCAGGAGCCTTGCGCGTCCCGGGCGCATCCCCTCCGCCGCCGCCGCTCGGCCCGCCGCCTGGAGCGAGGACGCCCCGTGCCCAGCGTGGGGGCGCTTAGCGCTGTTGCCCGCGCCGCATACCGCCCGGCGGGCTGGGCCAGAGGCGCCCTGTCCTCGCCGCCTCGGCTTGCGACACCCTCGGGCGCAAAGATGCCAACCTGCAAAGCAGAGAGAGGGCGGTCAGCGAAGGGCGGCTGCGGCTGGGGCTGGCGTCCCGGCGCCCCGGGGGCCAGCGCTGGGTGACTCGGACGGTCCCCAATGGGACCGAGGGATGAGCGAGGAGCGAAGCCCCGGAGGAGGAGGCGGCTGCGGGCTGCAGCCTCTAGTGCCCGAACAATAAGCAGCAGGCGGTCGGCAGAGACCCTCCCTCATTGTCTACCGTGGACCTGCCCTCGCCCCGCCCCTTTTGCCTTAAACAGAGCATCTGTTTAAACAGAGCTTTTATATGTTAATAATTATCAACTTGGCGGCGCTGACTCAGAGGCAGTGTCTTTCATTCGAGTGAACTAATTGCAACCTTTTGGTACTCCTACTTCATTACTCGAAATAGAAAATGCCCAAAAGAACAAAGGAAAGTTTTTTTGTTTTTGTTTTTGTTTTGGGGGTTGGGGTTGTTTTTTGTTTTGTTTTGTTTTTTTACAAACACAGTACATTCCTAGTACCGATTTAAAAAAAAAAAGAAAAGAAAAGAAGGGGGTAAAGCTACGTGTGTAGAAATGTGTGTACACACTTGTGCGCAAGCACGTGTGCGCGACTGGATGCGAATCCGTCTGCTTCATCAATTAGAGACACGTATGCAAAGCCCAAAGCAGCCGCAAAAAGGTCAACGCGCTAGCCTCTTTATCCACAACACTAAAAATAACCCCCCAGCCCGAAAGAACTATTCAATTTCAAATACCAGGGGCATTTGAGGCTGCGGCCCACACTAAGTCCCAGCGCGCAGTGTCACGCGAAACCGAAAATCAGTTTGCTTCGCGGAGGGGTGGGGAAGCAACAACCAAACAAAGAGATGCCGGCTCGCTGTCACAGAGCTCGCTAGGAGCCCACCGAGCAGTCTTGGCCCGAGGGGGCCGCGGGAGAGGTGTGCTGTTTACATCGAGCGCACCCCGCGAGCGTGGGCCCGGGGTGCGCGCGCGCGCGCACACACATACACACGCACACACATACACACCCGGGAGTGTGTGTCAGAACCCCTCGCGCGATCCTGCATCCAGATCGTATTCAGCGAGAGGCGAAAACAGGTGTGTCCCGGGGTAAGCCCCCGCCCCTAATCTCGCGCACTCCCACTCCCGTCCTCCCCGGGGTGATGTGCACCAGGTGGGAGACGAGAGCCGGACCTCGCTGCACTGGGTTTCATTTCGCGCTTTTGTGAGGCTGCTGAGGGGAGAAAGGAGGAAGGGTAAGGGAGAAAGACGGAGAGGCTGGGCGGCCAGGCGGTCGCTCCGGCGGCTCCCTCGGCTCTGAGGGGCCAGCCCTGCTCCCAGATTCCCGGCCTGCCAGCCGCTCACAGCCCGGGCTTCCCCGCCGCCTCCCTGCCCAGGCGCCTTCCCGGGGAACCCCACGGGCGGCCGCGCGCCGAGCCGGGGAATCCCGGCAAACTCCCTCAGCGCTCCGGGGGCCGCCGAAGCGCTGCCTGCGCGGACACCCACACCGCAGCGCCGGCTCGGAGAGACACACGGTTCCTGGCAGGGAGCTCTCTGGCCCGGCGTGGAATCCCAGGGACACCCCTGCGCGCGCGCACACACGCACACACACACACACACACAACCCGCGGGAGGACACCTCGCCGCGCTGCCCCGGCGCTCAAGCCGCCGCTACTCACTCGTGAGTCTGTCGGTCAGAATGTCTGGCTGCGAGTGGAGCGGCGGGAAGTGGGGACTGTGGAGGTGCGGGAGTAGTTGGGAGCGGCCTGGGGAGGCAGCTTCTGTCCAGCGGCGGAGAAATCAGTGAATGAGACTGTGAGTGAGGCTGAACTCTTACCCCCACCCCGCGCTTGTCACCCAAGCCTCTCCTCTCTAGACACACGCACACGGCGGACGCGCCCGGAGCGGAGCAGCAGAGGGCGCAGGCGCGCGGGCGCCCGCCCAGCCCGGCCCCAAGGCAGCGAGCCGCCCCGCTGCCCTTCACCTGCGCGGTGGGGGAGACGGAGGAGCACTGAGGCCCCGAGGGAGCAGGTCTCCGAAAAAGTCAGCTGCTGAGCCAGACAGCCCACTCGGAATTAAAAAAAAAAAAAAAATTATTTCTGTTCGTTTTTCCGTGCCGTGGGCACCCACAATGTCTAGGTACCAGAGTAGGTTCTGGGGACCAAAGATGAACAGGACAGGATCCCCGGACAGAGGAAACGTCTGTCTTGTGGAAGAAATACCCCCAAGTAGCCTAAAACAACAAGGTAAGTTCGATACAGGATGCCCCCGAAGAACCTCATATCCATTAACCTATTCCATCTTCATTTCCAGGCAGAAGGAAAGGCAAGGGTATGGTGCTCCAAGTTGGTAGGTAGAGGAGCCCCAGGGAGATCGCAAGGATGGAGCAGAGGACTGGACGGCAAGGGTGGCAGAGTGGAAAAGGTCAGCAAGGGCTTCACAGGTTGTGTGCTGTCAGCACTGAAGGGCCGGTGACATTCTGACTTGCTCACCACAAAGCTGTTCTGGCAGTGATGGGTGAATGGAGGCCCCACTGTGGCACCGAGGGGAGTTTGGAAGCAATCTCTAGACAGAATGGGATGAGCAGTGGCAAGAACATGGAGAGGAGGCAATCGCTTAAATATACAATGAGAAGGTAGAAGTGGCCAGACCTGGAGGCCAATTATAATCTGGAAGATGAGAAAATGGTCCAACGTAAGATGTCTCTCAAATTTCATAGCTGAGGGCACCTGGGTGGCTCAGTCGGTTAAGCGACTGCCTTCGGCTCAGGTCATGATCCTGGAGTCCCTGGATCGAGTCCCGCATCGGGCTCCCTGCTCGGCAGGGAGTCTGCTTCTCCCTCTGACCCTCCCCCCTCTCATGTGCTCTCTCTCTCTCTCATTCTCTCTCTGTCAAATAATAAATAAAATCTTTAAAAAAAAAAAATTTCATAGCTGAGTGACTGGGTGGATGATGTCCAACCAAAGCACAGGAGGAGAAGCATGCTCTTGGGAGAAAGATAGTTCTCCTCTTGGATGGCGTTGATTTTGACAGCGAAGTATACATGTCCCATAAACTATTTTGATAGATGACAGACAGGAAGTTTGGACTAGGGATGTGAATTAAGAGTCATCAGCCCAAAGGTGGCAGCAGGTGAATAAGGAAGACCAGGCAAACTAAGCAGAGGAAGGCTAAGGACAGGGCCCCGGGGGACACCACAGTCAAAGAAAAGGAGAGGGGGGAAAAGCTAAGAAGGGCGATTAGAAGCAATGGTCAGAGAGGTATGTGAAGAATCAGAGGTCACAGAAACCGTAGCAGCAGAAAACTTTAAGGAGTTATCAGATGCGTGAAAGGCTGTGGAGAAGTCAGAAAGGATAACTGAAAAGAGCCCATTAGCTGTAGCAGGTAGGAGGACACTGCTGAACTTTGAGAGAGGGAGATGGTGACCTAATGAAGGAAGGGGATTGCCTTCTACAATTGCCATGTCTCTGCAGGCCACTGCTGTCATGACAAAGCCACTTCATTGAGCCTTGGCCTTATCCAATGAGAGCATTGGCTGCACTTTACACACATGACAAGTAGAGTGTAGATACATTAAGTAAGTTGGGGAGGGTGCACAGCCAGTCTGTGGAACCTGTGTGCTCCTTAAGCTCATGCTCTTTACTCTGACTCTAAACTCGCTCTCTTATAATCGTACAGCAGCTTCACTTTTCAGTGCACCTTGTATCTGTTAATTATCTCATTTTAGTCCAACAACTACCACTCACAGTCAATCCTTAGAGAACAAAATCGCCAGCTGACACCAAAGAACGGTTAGTGTGTGTTTGACATTCGTGTTGAGACAGCACTGATCTCCTGGCAGCTTCCAGACTGACCAAACGGGGCAAATATATTCATTTCCTCATCCTCTGCTACTGTCCCCTCCTCCTGAGATCTCCATCAAGCCCACTGTTACTTTTCCACAAACAGGACAGATGACTCCAGCTGCCACCCCTGCCCAGATTTTAGTCCCCTACTATTGGTAAGGTGGGCAAAAATATACGTCACTTCTTGTACCTAAATACTCCTCTGAGCTTATTCTGGATCCAGACAGATTCGATCTGCCTCCTATGACATCCTTCTAAGGTCTTTGGCTCATTCTCTCATTTCGACCCCAGCCCCAAACATCAGTTGTCCTTCAGCAAATTCAATCTGTTGCACTTGGTGCCAGCAGAGGGTTTCCCTGCTGAAAAGTCAAAGAATCATGTCCCTGGAACATGCTGCATTTATTCATGGTCAATTACCATAGTTAAACTAGAAACAACTCTAAGAACCTATAGATTTTTTTATTGCCCCTAATAGAAAGATCATGATTTATAGACAGAATTTAAAAGGTCCAATTAGCTGTCCATATAGGAAACAAAAGAAAACATTTAGCAAGAGACATTCCTTTCACTTTCCCTTCCATAGTTATGACTTTGGAAAAGGCCAGTTGTGTCTCCATCAGCCCTCATCTTCAGATTCACTGAAAGAAATGGATTCAGATCATGGGATTCTGCTATACCCATGGCTCTTTCACATAATATGAATGGGTACAATTGCCTGAACTGGGATGCCTCCCTTGTTAGGTGTATGGGGATAAACGCTCTTCAGATTTCCAGCTTGCTGATGCTTCTTCTAAGTCATTAATCAGTCGAACTTACACATAAGTTGCTCTTTTCCCAACCTTCATATAATAAGAAGGTAGCCTTTGGAATTACCTGTGGCATTCCATGGGCTTAAAATCTGGCTGCACTGGAGAATGGAACAGGAACAGGAGCTTTTTATTCACTCCCTTCCCTTCCTCCTTAAAAAAGGCGCACTTCGGAAGTCTCCCAGACACAAGAACTGGAATTTGGTCCAGAATACTTTCTGGGCTAATAAACAGTTGCCAGTTGCTTAAGAGGGGACAAATTATATGTTTTAGTTAACCTTTTTTTTTAATATTGAAATACAGCTTTATTCACAGACCCTGAAGAGGTAACCAGAATATTTGCCTCTGTGACATATTTAAATTACATCTCTCTTCTTAGGTCAAGAAAGTAATTTATGATATAACTGTTTTCCTCCCATTTTTTTTTTATTTTTTAACTTAATTTTATTTTTACTGAGATAGAATTGACATAACACTTTTTAGATGTACAACATAATGGTTTGATATATGTATATATTGTGAAATAATTGCAATGATAAGTCCAATTAACATCCATCACCACACGTGGTTATAAAATTTTTTTTCTCATGATGAGAACTTTTAAGATGTACTCTCTTAGCAACTTTCAGATACACAATACAGTATTGTTAACTGTTTAAGACTAAAAGGTAAACTCTTAACACAACTTGACATTTACACCCTTCCTTAGAAGTAAATTTCAAGCTGGGTGAAACAGAAAAGGAACAGATTTGGCCCTGGGGTCCAGTGAATGGAGGCAGTCACTCCAGCCCTGTGGTTTGCAAGTGCTAAAGGAGTGTCTGACGGGCATTTGGGTGGCTCAGTTGGTTCAGTGTCTGCCTTCAGCTCCAGTTGTGGTCCCAGGGTCCTGGGATTGAGTCCGGAGTCGGGCTCCCTGCTCAGCAGGGAATCTGCTTCTCCCTCTACCCCTCCCCGCTTCTCATGGTCTCTCTCTCTCTCTCTGTCTCTTGGATAAATAAATAAAATCAAAGAAGTATCTGACCAACTGTGTCAGCTTTCACACTGCGAGTCCCACAACCCAAGAGACCACAGTCCCATGAACACCTGGACATATTGTCACCCTCTAAAGGAGCCAAGCAATTTCCAGATATTAGCTTCCCTTACAATCTGTAGACAAGTTGGGTCAAGGTCTGAACTAAAGACTAATAAAGGAAAAAAAGTACAAGGGATAAAATGAAATGAAAGTGTGTTAGATAGGCTTGATTAACACTCAATGTGCAGTCCCTACATTCTGTTTTTCTTGAATGACAGAGCCTAGAAAGCTAAAAAAAAACAAACAAAAAACAAAACAAAACACACATTTCCCAGACTGCCTTGCTGATCGGGCTCTGGATAAGAACTGAAGCATTCCTGTGAGTTTTGGAAGGTGGAATGAGTCACGGGTCACATCCTTTTTGGCTGTCTTATGCCAGCAAGCAGGTCATAGAGACATGTTATTTTTCTGCTTCAGTATTCAGCTGTCCAAACTCCAGCTTATGGGTGTTGAAAGGGAGTTGCAGCATTGGATCTCCGAGCCCAGCCACAGTAGGGTCTCCTGAAGAGAATACACCTGGGAAGGCCTTTGATTTCCACACCCACAAGTTCCTCCCCCACATTGTGGCAGCCGTACCAGTTTCCCTGGCAGGACAGATGTATAATGTTCTAAGAGTCATTCCTGGTCACCCAATCTACAGATCATTTATCCAACCCTTCCAGAGATTTTCTGAGCTTGTATCTTTCTGTAGTGAATCCCTTTCTGCCAAAAGCCCAGAGTGATTTCCCTATCCTACACTGGGCCAAGATTAATACAATAGATAGCTGGCTTTTAAATTATGGCTCACTCATCCACAGTTTGAGGTCCCTCTGCCTAGCTCTCAACTTGCCTCTCTAAAGCAGAAGTCTCCTGGGGAGCCTAGGTGGTGCAGTCCGTTAAGTGTCCAACTCTTGGTTCCCACTCAGGTTGTGGGCTCAGGTTGTAATCTGTGGGTCATGGAATAGAGCCCCGCATTGGTTTCTGCACTCAGGGGGAAGTCTGCTTGAGATTCTTTCACTCTACCTCTGCCCCTCCCACTCGTGCACGCGTGCTCTCTCTCTCTCTCCCTCCCTCTCAAAAATAAATAAATCTTAAAGCAGAAAGAAGTCTCTTTAGGACCTATATTAGGCATGACCTTGAACTATCAGTAAACTTCTCAAAGTCTAGATCCAAAGAGCAATGCCAAGAAAAACCTGGAATTCCTCTTTCCCTCCTCCTTTCTTGATTTCCATTCCCAATCTAAGGACATTTTTTTTTCCCTAGATGATTGCAAAGATCCATATTTCAGGTTAACCTGAAATTTATCCCAGAGCACAGAAGAATAATTAACACAAGATAATATAAACCAGGGGCGCCTGGGTGGCTCAGTTGGTTAAGCGACTGCCTTCGGCTCAGGTCATGATCCTGGAGTCCCGGGATCGAGTCCCACATCGGGCTCCCTGCTCGGCGGGGAGTCTGCTTCTCCCTCTGACCCTCCTCCCTCTCATGCTCTCTGTCTCTCATTCTCTCTGTCTCAAATAAATAAATAAAATCTTTAAAAAAAAAAAAAGATAATATAAACCAACACACTCACGGCAATGACACAATGTCGAGGCTCTGCTTCAAGGCAGGTAGGATGGCAGCAGGTTCTCATTTCTTTACATTTATCTAAAAGACCTGGAGAGCTGTTGTACAACATTGTACCTATTGTCAATAATAATGTATTGTGGGGCACATGGGTGGCTCAGTTAAGTGTCTGCCTTCAGCTCAGGTCATGATCCCAGAGTCCTGGGATCGAGCCCCACATCGGGCTCCCTGCTCAGCGGGAAGCCTGCTTCTCCCTCTCCCACTCCCCCAGCTTGTGTTCCCTCTCTCGCTGTGTCTCTCTCTGTCAAATAAATAAATAAATAAAATCTTTAATAATAATAATAATAATGTATTGTGCACTTAAAATTTTGTTGAGGGTAAAAAAAAAATCTTATTGAGGGTAGGTCT